TGGTAAATTTTACTTAAAACGAGAGTAATAAATGTTATATATTCATTGGATTATCTTAAACGGAAACTATATAGCTTGCATTATTTGCTGACCTTTGTAATTTTCTAAAAAAAATTGTATCAAAAGGATGAAAAATCAAAAACGTAAAATCGTAAAAAAGGTTTCTTCCAGACTTAAAAATAAATAATTAAGTTTTTCTTAACCGATTAATTTTTCTTTATCTTTTTTTCGAAAAAATTCGCCGTTAAATTATCAATTTTTGAATCCTAACAAAGACTATTAATTTAGCTTTAGAAAAAACATCGTATCTAAAAAAAAACGAATTTGAAAAATTTAAATTCATAATAAATTGTTTAAAAATGATTGTTTAATTTACAAAAATTTTAAATTTCTGAAATTTGATTTTTAAATTCTTTTAAAAGAAAATGATGTCCCTAAATATTTTTCATTTAAGAATTTGAATAACTTAAAGAACAATTTTACAAAAAGAAATACAATTCATATTTGGTCTAGATGTTCGACGACTCGTAACCGTAAGTATCCATGTTCTAATGTCATTCTTTGCACTTATTCAATGGTTCTCGATCGGTCGAAATTGAGCCACCTATCAAAAAACTCTTTTCTATTTTGAACTCTCGATTGAAACCATTCGAGTGATCGAAAAGTCACTGATTTCTTGACCCATCGACCAGCTCTCGACCTATCGAAAAGTGAGAATCTGAGAGCTCCGTTTGGAAATTTCGATGGGCACAACGCCCTCAAATTGACGAGTCGAAATGGCTATCGAATGACCATTTTGGTAGATGGATTTTGATTTTCAAAATATGTTTGTACTATACTAGATGTTCTATGGTACTATGTATACATTTTTTCCTTTCGTTACACATGCTAGATAGATAGGCTGTTGAGTTCAACTTTTTCTTTTTCCATTATATTTTACCATTTTACTTTTATAACTTATTTGTACTATATCTCCCTCTTGACTGTAAATTTACTCTGTGGCTGTATTGCTTTAATTATGGTCTTCTTTTCTATATAGTATTCGTGTTGTGTCCATTCTACTTTCATAAAATTACCTACTGTAATTTCCATCATTATCATTATTCTGTAAAAGCTACCTTCTTCTATGCCATTGTTACAATATTTACTAATAAACTTTCCATCGCATCGATCTACTTCTAGACTTATTGATTACATTGAAATGGGCTTATGGGATCAATAAATTACCCAGTATTTATTTAAAAAATTGTAATAAGCCTACGAAACAAATAATCACAAACAACTTCAGTAAGCCCCGAGCGGCCGCTCGGTGGTTATCGGACGGCTCCACCGTAGGATCCTTTAAACGAGGGATGGTGCGGCCGCTCCGCTCGGCAAAAAGGCTTACGGAGCGGTCCGTACCGCCGTCACTTTTTGAAAGTATGACTCATATTTTCCGTCGCCGTTGGTCGATTTTTAGGCGCGCGTACACCTCTGAATTATATATCATTGATTATGAATAGACAATCGTTTATTTATTGAACTATTTTAAATAAATGTGATCAACAAATAAATCTTTCATGATATATGTTATATATATAAGATGTAAAACCTAAACATTTATTAGAAAAAAAATTCCAGAGTTAACAAGCATTTATAATGAATAATTCTTGCTGAATATGATTCAATTAATATAATTTCATTATTGATTTTTATTAATTTAGTAAGAAAAAAAACAGAGTTCTAACAAAGGAAAATAAACATGGAGATGTTTTGTATGTTCAATTGTTTCACCAACATGTAATTTTTTTATTTTCATACAATTAAGCCATGTTGCATCTCTTGTAAAGTGTTCTGTGACGATTAATAAATTATTATAATTGACTGTTAATTCAGTCAGACAAGGTAAATGTGTTTTTCTCTCATTGAGAAATTGATCGATATAATCAATATGAACAGTAACAAGACGAAGCGAAATAAGATAAGGAAATTTAATAATTGAATACCATTGGTTATCATTAGTGTTCCATTTGTCTGATATTAATGATTGTGGTTTAATATTAATAACACATAATTCTTCAAGCAAAGGAAAAGACAACGCAATTCCATTGAAAAATTCATGTTTGAATGAAATTTCATCCTTCACCGTTAATCTTTTAACATTATTGAAAACAATACTTGGATATGTATTACCAATATATGTGAGATCGTCAAACATGAATGGTAATGAAAAGACATAACATATGGCAGTAGAATATCCATAGTTTACAATACAATTCATTTCTTGATATTTTATGTTATTAAGAGTTTGTTGAATATCATTTTTAGATAAATGATCAACTAAATGATCCAATGTAGTGTCAGTAGAAATACAAAAATTAAACATATGAAGTCGTGGCATATGAACAAGAATTTCATTATAAATATGAGTACCATCGATAAATGTAGTTCGATTCTTGATTGTAATATATAAAGTTAATTCTTCAAGATTTAACATACGATGAAAAAGTGGAAGAAATTGAGTATCATATGTATTAGTTAAGCAAAAAGGTGTTGTTAAAGATAAGCATTTCAAATTAGGTAAATCATCCTAGAAAATATCAATTAAAATCTATATCATTATCAGTTAAAACAAGAAAAAATTCAGATGAATAATTATTTAAAAAGTTAGTTTTATTTCTATTTTAAACATTTCATAAACTTCAGGATCCTTATCATTGTTTGAACCAAAGTGATTATTCACAATATATGATTTTTAGTAAGGTATCCATAAAAACAAACGTTAGACACCATGTACTTCCCTAAATACCATTTAATAATAAAATCGTGTTATAAAGCATCTCCATATAAAACGAATAAATTTCTTAGAAAATCGTTTCTTGTTTCTCTTATCTCGACGATCAACAGAGCTAAGAAAATATGATATATAAAATTAACTAAAAATTCTTATCGAACAGACGAGTATTTATTCTACAACTATTTAATTATAGTTGATTCAAATATATAGCATTCATTAGAAAAAAAAAATCTATCTATAATGATTTGAAACAATTAATACTCTGATCAATATTATTTATTTTTCAAATGAATAATATTAATCTAATCAAATATAAGCTTACCATATTGTAAACATTCAATGAATCGTATTCCATATTTTCAATAAAAATAATCAAAGTTGTTAATTGTTTAAGACGACCATCAAGTAAAGCAAGACAATCTTCAAAATGTCTCACACGAATACATAATTTGTTAAGAGTTGAAGAGAAGAACGTAGTTAAAGGTACGTTACTAAGTACCAAAGGTGGATAATAGTGTGGATATGATCCAATAATAGATAAATGTTTTAAATTTTCACAGTATTTCAAAATACACGCATACAAATCTGCCGTATAATCTTTTAGTGATGCTTTATAGGATTTGTTTTTGAATACAAGAATAAGATCTGTAATTTGTCGTGGAACAGTATATAGTAATTGTTTGTTATCTAAATAAAAAAATAAATAGTTATTGACTAATCCATCTATACAATAGTTTAGAATCTAAATCTCTACACTGATCAATGAGTATGTTATTTACCTGTAAAATACAATGAAATAGTCAAGCTGTCAACATTAAAGAGTTTAACTTCAGTTAAATTAGGATATCGGGCAGCATAAAGAATGTCTTTCATAGAGAATGAACCAACAATAAGAGTTTTAACTTTGTGATTAATTCTTCTTAATATTGAAGTGCAGAATTGATCAACACTTGGAATAACAGGCGCGTGAGTATGATTAAGTGATGTTGGTAATATAAAATTGAGAATACTAGAGAAATTATTTTCTTGTATTAAAGCGTCAAGTCGTCGATTATTTACAAGTAATAATGAAGAAAGAACATACATATTATCGAGCTTTTTGAAAATCATAAGTAATATTTCATTAGGTAAATCAAGAAGACTAATATTATGTTGATTCATGTTGAATTTGACTAACGCTTTTCTTATTATGTATATATATATATTTATATATGTTCATTGTTTGTTTCTGCCCGCTGCTATCATTGAATAAAATGAATGGATGACCTTGATGAAAAAAAAATATAGCCTGAATAAGTAGTCCATTTAATTTACAGACTTCTTTTTTCGTCTATGACTTCAAACAGACGAAAAAAAAATAAGGCGAATTAAAATTAAATTAATGAATATATCTTCTAGAGTAGACGACTTAAGTCCGGAATAGACCAATCATGTTGCTTAATTCAACTTTAAGTTAATTCATTTTTTTCGGTGTGTTTGAGGCTTATCTTTGATATGATTTTCATCGGTAGTCACTGTTCTTATTCATAGGAAAATGAAGAAGTCATGTTCGAAGAAAGGAAAGATAATATTTACTACTAGTGGCGTAACAATGGTAGGGCTAGGTTGGATGCCGTCCAACCACTGATGTCAGTTTCATCAGCTAAAGTCTCTTACCAGCCCTACCACTCCACAGTAGAGATCGAATCGGCATCGGCGATCATCTAGTTTATCTTGTTTAGTTTTCTGCTTTTATCATAAAACTTACTCAAAATTTCTAATGGATCTTAATGATATCTCGTGAAGAATACGATAGCAAGCTGTTTCTGAGCGTTGACTATATGATTAGCACTATCCAAACACAGAATTAGCATCGGTACAAATTTCAGACCAGCCGAGCCAGTCCAGTCTGATTGGTTTGGTATAGGGGTCGTCAAAAATCTAGACCGGTTCCATGTATACCCCCTAGACTTCACTTACATGATCCCAACCACCAGACATTTAGGTGATGCCAAGTTATTTTGTTCAAGTTTTCGATGATCATGGTCACCATTATCAAGAAGAAAATATAGAACAAAATTAAGAGAAAAAACTGTTATATACATATGGGCAAAACGGACCAAATTTGTTTTTTTGTAAAATTCGAAGCTGAGCTGCGGGAGTTTAGCGTAGTTACAATTTGTGGTCTTCAGTTTATGAATAGTTTATAAAAAATGACGCCTATTTTTCGTTTTTGTGATTGAAAAAACTAGAAAGCCCTGTTTCATT